CTCACAGTTACTCAGTATATTGCAGTATGCCTTCTCTTCAGACCAGTATTATTCTGACTACCCTGGTCCTCACCCAGTGAAAGCTCTGATAAATACCTCTCTTTTAAATCTGAGTTAACACTCTCCTCTAAATCTGCAAATCACTGACTCCTAGGATCAGCATCACTGTAAGTAGATGGATTTATAGCATAGAATGCCAAGAATATCTTTCCTTCTGTTTCCAGAAATAATGAAGTGTATCATTCTATTTCCGGAGAGAGTGACGCTGAATTTTTACAGGGATCTAGAGAAAATGTATAAATATAGCCATTGGTTGTGCCTCTCTCACTGTACCCATGCTGGTAAGAAACATGATGAGGGGTTAGGGCAAAGTTGCTGCCCTTCTGTGCACGACCAGCTGCCATTCTGCATTTGAACAGTATGTTATTACTTCAGTTGTTATACAAACTGCAGGGAATTATCAAAGCACTGTATGTAATTGTTCCTGTGTTTATACAAAAACTCTGCAGCTGTAGGGGAAAGTGGAATAAAAGCACACTTTGTTTAGAAGCTTGTTTAATATGTTGGGGGGAAGGGAGATCCATTCAGAAGCAACTAATTTGTACATTTGACTTTCTCATAATAAAGAGATGGCTAAACTCCAAGGTTAAGCAGTTGTTGCCTTATTTTCTATACATAGCTTAGGCTTTGAAATGAGCAAGCTAAGTGGCTATTAAAAGTACATGGTATGTTTATGTACAAATTCTAATTTTACATAGTGATTTTCTTTGTACTTTGGGCTCTTGTAACATGATGTTTTATTCTAAGTGGGCAGATCCCCATTGTCGGTCCTTTTATAATTAATATTAGTAAATTAGTACTAAGTTTTTTTTCTGTCTAATTTTAAATTTAGGGAGACTTGCAAAAATGAATGAAAAGTCAAATGCAGCTATCTTACAAAGGGTGGGAGATTGTATTTACAATACTTTTATTATAGCCTGTGAGGTTTCATTGGCCTCTGTACAATTTTTAAACTAGATTTCTGTAAGGCTTAAAACAATCAGTCTCGAGGAAAATTGTAAATACTGATGTCTTGATCATTTGGACTCGCCATCCTACTCCCAGATGCAGTTTTTTTTAGAGATTCTTGGTTCATAAAAATAATAAGATTTAGCATCTCTGCGGAAAGAAGAATATGGAAACCCGAAGAGTGAGACATCAGCAGCTGCTCCCCTCATGCAGTGTCATAAGTTGCACAGGAAAAATGTTACACAACAAAGGTGGCCTCCAACTGTTCTCTAGCAAAATGCTGGCTTCTGTTGCCAGTTCTGCAACCGAAGTGGCCAAATAACTTCTCTGTACTGTAGGATCTCCCCCTGCAAAATGGGAATAATTATAGTTCTCTTCCTTTAACTTTTTTTTTTTTTTAGATCGATGAATGAAAATTGCTACTGAAGGGTTACGTCTTTATTATGGTGTTTCCAAATGTATCTACCTTTTCATTATGGGAAACGTTTTCATTATGGGAAAACAAGCAGTTCAGTGATACCTTAAAGCAGTGGTCTCCAATCTTTTTAAGTGTGAGATCACTTTTTGAATTTAAATGGAATCCAGGATCTACCTCACACTCAAACACTGTTGCCCTGCCTCCTTCCCACCGCTTCTCCAAGGCCCCGCCCCTGCTCACTCCATCCTCTCTCCCTTCCCCATCCTCACTCACTTTTAGCAGACTGAGGCCAGAGGACTAGGATGTGGGGGGGGGGAGAGGGGGAATGTGGACTCTGATCTTGAGCTAAAAGATTTGGAGTGTGGGAGGGGGTTCTGAGCTGAGCCAGGGAGCTAAGGTGCAGGAGAGGGTTCAGGGTGCTGGCTCTGGGAGGGAGTTTGGGTGCAGGGGGACTCAGGGCTAGGGCAGTGGTTTGGGGTGCAGGAGGAGTTCAGGAGGTGGGATAGGATTTGGAATGCAGGCTCCAGGTGAGCACCACATACCACATGTGGCTTCTGGGTGGTGGTGCAGGGGACTAAGGCAGGCTTACTCCTACTCTGACCCTCACCACTCCCAAAAGCAGCCAGCAAACGCTCTCCATCTCTGTCCCCACCTCTGCTCTGTGGAGATGGGATACAGGGTGGAAGGAGGTGCATTCTGACATCAGCAACCCCTTCACTTCTTCCTGTGCCCCACACAGCAAGCAAGAGCCTCCTGGGGCTAGGGGGAGGCAGCTCCAAGGCAGAGGGCAGGAGCAACAGGGCAGTGCTTAGAGGGGCAAATGAAGTGCCAGCATTTGACAGCCTCTTGGCCAAACCTGTCAGGATCAGCTGTCAAAGGCTCCAAGCTCTACCAGTAGATCCTGATCCACTGCCTTAAAGACTAACCATTGTATTATGGCATAAGCTTTCGTGAGTGTCCACTGATTAAAGGAGTTGAAACTCACGAAAGGCAATGCTATAATAAAAGTCTTCAAGGTGCCACTGGAGTCCTTGTTGTTTTTGCTGAAGCAACTACCTCTGAAACCTATCCTTCTGGAAGTGAGACACTCAAAAGCCCCTTGAGCAAAATGGCAGCTCATGAAGTATGCAAATGCAGCATAGCAATATTCACCGCTTCGTCTCATTTTCATATTTTCTTGCGCAAGACAGCGCAGTATAGATGTAGCCTAAGTGAAGCATTCACACTACCAAGCCCGTTATTCCACAATTGCGGGCTGCAGACTTCAAACCCTGTAGTGCTTTTCACGAGGAGTACCACTAGTTCCAACTTTGTACGTCCAAGATAACAGTAGTGCAGACATTCTGGTGTCACTAATTGGCCTCTGGGAGGCCTCCTGCAGCTGATCACTCCAGCCACGCTTGGCCAACCCACTGCTCTCCCCTCCTGCGGCGCTCATCCTGGAATTGATGTCATGTCCCACGTGATCAGCTTTGTGAGCCCTGTGCAAGTGACCAGCACATGGAGACATGAGTGCCCCCACTGTCCTCGCTGACATCGTGATGGTTGCCAGCACTTCTGCTCCCATGGCCCCCACTGCCCAGGGATGCAGAAGAGCTCCAGCCTGAAGTGCTAAGGAGATCCTGAATCTCACTGAGTAGGGCGGGGGGGGAGGAGGGGGCGTTCAACCTCCATGAACTCTGCACAATGCAGGCAAATGCCAACATCTATGGTAGGATTGTCTCCAGCTTCTTGGCCAAAGGCCACACCAAGAACCTGCAGCAGTGCAGGTTCAAAATCAAACAGCTGTGCCAGTCCTACCAGAAGGCCAGGGAGCAGAGCAGCTGTTCTGGGGCAGCACCTGCCACTGTTACAACCAGCTGGATGTCATTCTGGGAGGGGAGTCGGTTACCTCCACCGCCGTGGTCCAGTCTGGCCTAGACATGCCTGGCATCAGCCTGCAGGTGGGCAGGGTGATGGAGGAGGATGCCAGAAAGGCAACAATGCCTGAGAGCTAGGAGCTGCTCCTCGCTTTGGAGCCGGTCCGCCCCTTCCAGGATGTTTCCCAGGCTTCTGACAACCCTGGGGAGGGCACTTCTGGTGAGTTTTCTAACTTTAGCTGCAAGTGAGGGTCAGGCAAAGGGCTGCATGCTCCTCTCTGTTACTCACTCTGGCTGTGTCTACACTGGCATGAATTTCCAGAACCGCTTAAAACGGAATACTATTCCGTTTTCAGTTTTTCCGGAGAAGGAGCGTCTACATTGGCAGGCTGCTTTTCTGGAAAAGCCCCTTTTCCGGAAAAGCGTCTGTGGCCAATGTAGATGCGCTTTTCCGGAAAAGACTACTGGGCTGTCTACACTGGCCCTTTTCCGGAACAGTGTTTCAGAATAAGGACTTATGCCCGAGCGGGAGCAGAATAGTTTTTCCGGAATAGCGGCTGATTTTGTACAGTAGAGCATCGTTGCTTTTCCGGAAGTTCAAGGGCCAGTGTAGACAGCTCACAGCTTATTCCGGAAAAGTGGCTGATTTTCCGGAATTAGTGGCCCAGTGTAGACACAGCCTCCGAGGGTTGCAGAACAGCTTGTTCACATGTCTGTAGATGGCGTGTCAGGCTGGAGCACTCATTGCCACAATGCTGTCACACAGGAACCCTTTGATCCTTCTCACACGATTCCCATAGAGGCCTGCCTTATTCCAGCCTCTGTGGTAGGACACCTTCCTACACTAAGCCACCAGGAAGCAGTCTGGGGTCATGGAACCACATAGCAGTGTAGCACGCTGCCCTGATTCATGCCCGCACACAGTCAGCATTCGCTCCAAATCAAGCACAGTGATGCAGGGAAGACTGATGATATGCATAGGAACCTGCTGGAAGGAAGAAGAGGAGGGGAACCCATTAGCACTTTCTGCCACTCATACACACTTCCCCTCTCCTTCCAGCAGGCATTGATAGAAATTCTCACCGCAGGATGCCACGAGTGCCAGACCCAGCATGTGCAGGACACAGTAGGAAGCTGAGCCGCCCCCCGGCATGGTCCTGGCCTGGTGGGCACCTTACCATGCCTACTTATCTCCAGTCTCTGTGTTTGTGATGCTCCCCTGGGATGTCTGTGCACCTGCTGGAAAGTGCCTGCTTTAGAAGCAAATTATGGCCTTGCTCAAAACACAGTGCTGTTGTCTGAACTGAGACCTTCAGTGTTGGCTCAGTGATTAGGGCTAGGCTTCATACAAAGCGTTTCCTGTGAAGACTGCCCTTGTAAATTCACAGCAGGACAGCGGTGAGCTGGGCATGTCCCTAACTTCCTGCTGCATCTATCCACCTGACCAGGATCTGCAGATGAATAAGAACATGGGACATGCTCATGAGGGAGCAGCTGGTCTGCCTGCAGTCCCTCATGCAGGAAGTCAAGGCAGAGTACCTGGAGCAGGTTACTGAGAGGAGCGGCAGGCTGACCAGGAGACAGAGGCCACATGGGAGCAGCTGGTACACCAGCGTAACATATTCTCTACCCTCACAGCAGTGCTGGAGCATGTAGCAGCATGCATGGATTGGGCCACCAGCCACATCCCACCTGCTCGATGGCCACCCCTGCAAGGGTCTCCAGGGATTGCTGGGACCCCAAAACACAAGGCATGGGGCCCTCTAGGCCACCTGGAGGCAAACACCAGTCCCAGCCCTGGCCCCCATTACAGGTTCTTTCTCCATTCCCTTCCCTGTTGTATGTCCACTGAATAAAGACTCCTGTTTGTTAATCAATGATCTCTTTATTGTTTGCTCTGCCAAGGAGGGCAGGAAAACAGAGAGACGGGGATCTCTCTCTCTCTCTCTCTCTCTCTCACACACGCACACGCACACAGAATGCAGGGTGGAGAGTCTCACAACTGGTCTTGCATAAAACTGTCTTTCAAGGCGTCTCTGATGAACAATGCCCCTTGCTGTGCTCTCCTTGTGGCACTGGTGTCTGGTTGCTCAAACTCCCGAGCTAGGCGTTCTGCCTCAGCCCCCCATGCTGGAAGAAAAGTCTCCCCCTTGTTTTCACACAGGTTATGGAGCACACAACATGCCGCCACCACGAAGGGCATGTTGAGCTCGCTGATGTCCAGGCGGGTGAGGAGACTCCTGAACCTCCCCTTTAAACGCCCAAATGCACATTTCACCACCATTCTACACCTTCTCA